GTAAAAAATGATCTTAATTAGCCTTCCCTAAGAAGCACAGACATGGATATGACACGATATGGACACATGGGCATGTTATCTTCTGAAAAATTAGGATACAACGCGTCAAGGATACATGAATTAAAAAATACAATTTTTTAATATATAAAAAAAAAATGTCAAATTTAACATTTAAATACATTGGGAATCACTAATTTAACACTTCATATGTTAAAACACCAATGTTCATTACACACGCATAAAAAAAAAAAAAAAGAAGGTATATGCAATAATAAAATCAACTGATATTTACATAAACATTAAAATGCATCAGAAGGTGTTATAGATTTAGGAGAAGATTTAGTGTGTAGTCGATTTTTGACTTATTTTAATGTAATAGATTAGTTTTATTTTGTTTGGGGACCTTTAGGTTTTAATTATTTATTACAAACCTTAATTTAAGCCTTTAAGAACTTAGAAATTAACAGGAGTATCCAAAATTGTGTCTCCAGCATGTCCCAGTGTGCCCCAAATTAAAAATAAAAAATAAAAAATTGGACTGTCTAAAAGTGCATGCACATGGACACTCTAACTGAAAGAGAGTGTTTGTGCTTCATAGAGCCTTCCATTTAACTAGTTCCATCAAGCCTCAAAAAGCGTAACCACTGTTGCCAATTCTCTTAACAATGCCTGTATTTTTTTGTCTTGTTATTAGGATGCAGCTAGGTTCTAAGTACAGGCATTTGGCAAATGGAAATTGGCAACCTGGCATTACACTCTAGGACCTCTACTAAACGGTATATACCAAATCTGTTTGTGCTTGAATATTTCTGAGATGTCATTGCATTATCTAGGCTGTCTCAAAGTAGATATTGGCTATCTAATTCACCTGGAATGATGATTGTTGAAATGTTGATATAGATCTGTATCCTTGCTTCAATGTATGGTATTTTCTTGGGTTCTTTTGGGTATATACTTGAAGGCATCTCCTACTTAAAATGATTGATTAAACATATAGAGAATATTGTTAAGAAAATTACCAGTTCTCGCATGCGTTGTGGTTTTGGTTAATTTTCATTTCTTGTTGCTTCTATTAATCTTTTCTGTTATATTTATTTCAGGTGTAATAGAAGTATTGGTGAATAATGGAAGGCAAATTGATGCAGTTAACCTGGCTTTTTCTTTTGAGCTTACAGACCAGTTCTCTCCTGTTCCTTTGCTGAAATCCTACTTGAAGGATGCCAGAAAAGTCCCTTCAACTATCAAACCTGGGAATACCTCTCCTCCTGCCCAGGTGTGTTCCTCTCTTAACAGAAGCTAAATTAGTTTTGCCCCAGTAATATGTGATGTAGACAAAAGTGAACATCCAGTGCTGATTGCACCAATATTTCAACTGTTGATATGCACTTCTTTATTCATTTATTTTGTGCTTGCTTAAATCTGACATTGGAAACTTTCTTGAAAGCAATTAAGTTTAGGAGTTTAATTTGAGATGAGGATCAACAGACAGCAGTCAAACTCACTAATGGTTTTGAGATCATCCTTTTACTTACATCATGTGTTGGAGATCAGGCTAGCTTACACCTGTTCAATGCATTTGCATTGCATGACCTGGACTGGATCTGCACTCTGATTTTGGCAGGCTTCAGTTCTTAGTCTGATATTTTGGATAAATTGGCTAGTTAGCTAGAACTGCAGATGGTTTGAACAACCTTCTACTTAGTTTGGTGTTTGGACTGCATAATGGCTCGTTGGATGTGAGGCAAAACAAAAAAAGTTCTGTCATATATGATGCCCAAGTGTTTACTCTGTAACCGTGACTGCATTCAGTAATATCTAAATATGTTCTCTTTTTTCAGATTGAGGTAAATGAGCGGGAACTGACTGCCCTAAAGGCTGTGATCAAGTGCATTGAGGATCATGAGCTTAAAGATCAGTACCCCATGGAGCCGCTTCAGAAGCAGGTTCTCCAGCTAGAGAAGGCAAAGGCAGACAAGAAAAGGGCAACTGAAGCTGGAAAGCCTCAGCCCAAGAGAGCTCGCGCTAGTGGTGCAGGGAATGGTCCCTGCATTACTAACCTAGCTGCAGACGTGACATTCTATCCTAGAGTCACTGACAGATGTCCACCATACGTGTATGAGAGACCCTATGTTTACCCTGCATCTGCTGACAGCCATGGACCCTCTCTTCTTCCCTTGGCCACCTACAACTTCTCGCCCAGTCATGGCAACTACTTGGGAAATGGCTACCAGTACCATGCCCCATACATTCACTAAACACCAAAGACTGGCAGAAGGTGACCGTGATCTACTCACTTTAGCTGTTAGCCTTGACCCTTGAGTTTCTTCCACGTTCCAATGTATGAACGGATTTAGTATTAAAAATGGAAAAAACTGCCGTGTTAGTTTTTATCTGTTGTACAAGGTACTTTGATCCTCTAATATGTGCATTCTGTTTTTGTATGTAAATATATATTGTATCATTTGCTTGTGTTTATCCTTATATGGTTCTTTTGATCTGGGTTTTGCTTCTATAAATATGAATTTAGCTTGTTTTCTAACCAATTGAGCCATGAAGTAGAAGATTTTTGCAAAGGTAATTTTTTGGTATTTACAATCAGTGCCTCAAAGTCAATTTTCATGCATCTAGAGATTAATTCTTCTCTAAAGAATTTTAGAAGTGCACTTTCCATGTTAACTAAATGCATTCAAGATGAAATTTACTTACAAGTGCATCTAATTAGATTTTTTCACTAGTGCATCTTTACTTACAAGTGCATCTAATTGGATTTTAGCAGAGGTATTCTCTCTGCATAAATAATCTTTTAAGTAATTTAAAATTTAAAGCTACAGGGGTGGGCGTCGGTTGGCTTGGTGACTGAACCAACCATTGTCAATAATTGACTGATTTTCTTTTGTTATTTGTATTTATAAACTGCTAACCGAAACCAAAATAGAGTGGCTTTCATCATTTTAGTCTTATTTTTTTCCAATTTCCCTGGTTCGATACGGTTTTAAACCACATATTAATAACTTTATATCAATTTTAAATCTTTCTTTCCAATTAGAGTTTCATGCTGCGTTTTTCCCCATTTCAAATGGCCAAAACAAAACTTATACAAGTTAAAACAATAATTTTTATTTGATGAAAAAAACAATAAAATTTTCAAACATTCACAAATAGTTGCATATAAAAGAACTTGAATCATAAAGTTTTTCCAGTTAAAGCATATAAGGAACTCATTCACTAAAAGCAAAGCAACAGGAACTCGAAAATGAGTCATCAAACTAAAAGCATTTATCATTTATGTAAAATATTAAGAAATCCTAAACCATAAGATAGTCATCAACTAATCAAACTAAGATTGGCAAGTAACACTGCATAACTACTTAGATCACCATTAATTTAGATCGTCATTAATTTTTTTATACTAGAAAGTAAGAAACTGTATAGAATAGAATGTAGCCAGCCACCATCATCCCCAAAAAGCAAATGACTTGATGCATCCACAAGCAAGCCACTGGTTTTTTCTCTTTCTTCCTTGGGTATTCGTAGGTTAAGTTGTCCAAAAAGATAAAGCAACAAATAGATCTTATAAATTGTATGAAAAAGAACTCTATCAATCATTCATGACTCCTAATCCCATTTACTTGGCAAGACCCTTCACATGTCAATTAGCAAAAACAAACAGAAGTTAGTAAATTAAAAATAAAATATTTGAGTACCAACTTTATATAGAAATCATAGGAAATTACTTCACCTAATTAATCCTAAACACCTTTACTTAAAATTGGATGCATGGTACATCCAATTGCAACTTCTCCATCTCTATCAAGTTAAAAAGAAAAAAAAAAGAAAAAGCTTCAATAACTTAAGTGCTCAACTATAATATAGAGAATGAAATATAGGGAAATTGTAAAGATTCAGTTATACCTTTCTCCATTTCTTTCAAAGCATTCTTATTCTCCAAATTAAAAGCTTGTTTTGCTTTAGACCTCAACCAATCTTGGGAACAAATTAGTGCCTAGTCATTCTTAGGGTTAAAGAGCTCTTAAATGGATCAAGAGCTTGACCCCCAGTGCTAAATACAGTTTTAGAAGCCACAGTAAAGATTAGGACAACCAACACAGCCCTTGCCATTGAAGTTGTAATATCCCAAATTTTCTAAAATCTTAAAATTTAAGTTAGGGATTTATGTGGGGGAAATTATTATTGTTAGGTCTAATAGCTAAAATTCACTAACCTAAGGGAGGTTAAAAGAAAAGTTGGTGATAAAAGGGGTTAAGGCTAATTTTCCTTTTTCTCCTTGCCCATTTTTGCAAGTTCCCCCCCCACCCCACCCAGAATTTTGCCTCCACAAACCCTAGCCTGCACCTAGCACCTCTTCACTAGAAATCAGGTGAGATTTAGTTCTTCTTCTTCCTCTCAAGTCTAATTTAGAGATGTATGAGCTCATGGTTCTCAAAATGGTGATCAAAACCCAGATCTTGCTGCTGATATTCCCCAATTTTCTGGTCCATGTCGGGTTCTTCAGCAATGTAAGGGGTGGCCATTACTCTCCAGCAATTTTTGGTAAGAAATTAGCCATATTACTCATCTTTTCATCTTTGATTTGAATTGGGTTAATTCTAATCCTTCAGGGTTTTCAAATTGGGATTTTGTTTCTGTAGTTTCTCTCCATTTTGCCCATAATCTAGCGCCATCGTATTTGATCCCTTTTGCTAGGAAATTCTGACAACATGACCTTGTAGTAATATTTTGCCCATAACTCTTTCTATAGTTATCAGATTAGGTCCATTCTTGATTCTATGGAAAGTTAAGAGATAGCCCTATAGTTTTTTTGTTGGATGCTTAACCCAATTAAGCTTTTTTCATGGTGAAAACTCTATTGCAATTTTGGTTCATGGGGAAAACTCTACTGTAAGTCCGGTTCTTGAAGGTGGATAGAACTAGTAGCCTGACCTTATGTTAGTATTATGACCATAACTTTCTTTGTAGATGTTAAATTAAGGTGATTCTTGATCCTATAGAAAGCTAAGACATAGAGCTGCAATTGATCTGTTAACCATTCAACTCAAATTAATCAATTTTTGAGTGCAAATTCTGTTAGAACTTCCAGTTCAAAATTTGACCAAAACTTGCCCTCAAAAGTGCCTAGAAATTCACTCTGTCTTTTACTCTATTCTCACATTATCTACTACCACATTACATCATGGTTTTACTATGTTGTACCTATGATTTTGATGATTACAAAACACATTTGAGTGACTAATTGGTTTATTTAAGTGTATAGTTAAGTTGCTAAAAGATTGCAAGTAAACTTGGACCGCACTTAAAAAGGGACCAGAAAGGCTTGAGTATGTGTAGAGAGCCGACTCTTAAAAGTTGCAGCCGGCTCTGGTGAAATGGAAGTGCAGAGAGCCGGCTCTGGAAGCTGCAGCCGGCTCTGGAAGCTGTAACCGGCTCTACGGGTAAAGATTTAAAGGTTTGTTGTTTGGCGCGCGCGGAGAAAAGACCAGAGCTGGCTGTAAGGGTGCATTTAATGCACAACGGCCGACTTATTTGAAGAATAATTAATATTGTTAAAGTTGAAATACCAAAGCTGGCTCTAGGCTTTGCAGCCGGCTATGGAAGAAAACAGAATGTGCAGGAAACTTGCAAAGCCGGCTGCAAAACTTTTAAGCTGGCTCTATGGAAAAAACAGAATGCAAGAATCCCACAAAGTCAGCTGCAGAAATGGTGGGTCGGCCGTGTAGAGCCGGCTCTAGGAAGTTAAGCTGGCTCTTCTGACAATCCTGCAACTCGAGCTTTGCGTCTTGCAGAGCATTTAATGATCTCCAACGGCTAGAAACGGCTATTTTCAAGCAAGGGACTATAAATATGGTTGGTAACAGATTTGAAGAAGTTTAAAGAGCATTGTATTGAATATCTTTACCTACCAACTTGTGCTTTAACTTGAGATTTTGATCGTTGAGAGATCTTTATTTGTAATCCTCTTCTTGTTCTATTTGTGGGTAATCTTGGGGGTGTGACTATTCCTTCAAGACTGATTTGTAGAGAGGATTGTTTGGCCTTATCTTGTAAAGGAGTGAGATTTGAGAGAAACACCCTTATTCTTGTAAAAGGATTGAGTGGTTCCTTTAAGCCACCCTTGTTGTTGTTAGTGGAGAGTGTGGAGGAAATCCTTGGTGAGTGAAGCCAAGGTAGAGGACTAGGCTCCAAGTGGTTGGACCAAACCTCTCTAAATCATTGAGCAAGCTCTTCTTCTCTACTCTCTTTAATTTTGGTTTTGTGGTTGCAAAAAGGGGAGAATTTTTGGAACTCCAATTCACCCCCCCCTCTTGGAGTACATTGAGTCAATATACTAGACTTTTAGTTGTTGTTTTTCTACTTTAAAACCCCTGGTTATTGGTTTATTTTGTTGCTGCATTTCTACTTAAATGTTGTCCATTTCTGCCTAGTTTGGCTTATATTCTGCACTATTTTGCTGTTGTTTTTGCCCAGATAATTCTTGCTGTTCAAGGCGTTTTTCTAGACATTTTGGAACTTTTTCAAATAGCGAAAACCCCCATTTTGCTGCCTAGCTTTTGTGTTGCTGTTGAGGTAGTTTAAGCTTGGATTCTCATATTTTTCTACCTTATTCTGCCCACAAAATCTGTTTAGAATACCTATTATTGTGTAGTTCCTTTTTGGAGCTGTTTTAAGCATATTTAAGTATGACTATACATATTAATATATTAGGAAGGTTTCAGAGGAAGGAGGTGACTGAGAAGTGTAGGAGGAAGTTGTTTCTTTGGGTAGGAACTTGATTTTGGAATTAGAAACCAAATTAGTTAAATGGAGTATGTTGTAATTTTGTTTATTCATTTGATATGGTATAGGTTCTAAATCACCTTCATTGCTTTGAGATCTTGAATTCTTGCTTGTTGTATACCTATAAGGCAAGGCAAGTAAAATTATGGTAAATGTCTTTGAATTTTAAGGTAAAAATTTTTAAAGTATATTTTGAATTATTAGCACATGAGCATGACTGGCTTGATATGAAGTTATTATTATTTTTATTGAGTGGAGCATGCCTACATGGATTTTACTTTATTATTTTGATGATCTGAAATTAGTTTGTAAATTATGGATTTTTCTATTAACTCTTGCATGGTTTTGTGTCTAATATGGTCATGATTCCTAAAGCCTGCTAGTGGGAAAAATGTTGGCATATGTCAACATGTATTCCTGGAAACCAGTTATCCTAATTTATTCTTGTTATTCCTGGTAGTGGAATAGTACATTAGTTATTCTTGATGCCTGCTAGTGGGAGTTTGTTAAAAACTGGCCATGACTAATTGAGGAGAGCACTATTGAGTTTTACTCTATATTGATGATTTATATCTGAGATTTTTCCTACAGTTTATGTTTAAATTGTTTATCTGACATGCTTTAACTTTAAAGAAGGGCTACTCATATTTTTACTTACTAAATTATCTCACATAATTTTTCCTTTTCCACCATTTTAGGTCGTGAGACCAAAGACGTGGGAAACCAAGAGGAGTGATG